ATTGGCTTGCATAAACAACTTTGCTGATATACATAGCAAATCACACATCACACACAGTGAATGTGAAATATGATAATAGCCACAGTGTGCGAACATATATAACGTAACAAGTTACAGAAGTAACCTGTTTCTTTAGTCATATCATCTTCTGACTTTCAGCTGTTGAATCAATATATAAACTTGCCGTTTGTAGATATCATTTTTTCTTTGTAATCATTTTGCGTCTATCGGTAACATTTGGAAAGATGATTTAATCATAAATATTATGCTTACAATAGGCCTAATAGACAATGCCTTGGGCTAGGATAAGGTCAGTTTTTCCCTTTTGGCACTATTCGTACAGCATTAACATAAGGCCTCTTAAGACAAAGACAGACTGCAGCCGACAGCGACCGACCGTAAATGACAAACAACTTTTCAGAAAATTAGAAACTATTGTTTCCTACGAGCCATTGTACACACACGCGACAACGACCGGCGACAACCTCAACGACAAAAATATTTTAGGAATGTTTCTATTCTCCAGCGACAGTCGCCAGCGACACTTTACAAATAGCCAATCGCAGCCGTTTCCATTGGCACGTGACATTACGATTACGTCATAAAAAAAACCATAATGCTATAGCCTAGACTGGTCCTCCAGCGCTAAACTTGCGACGCATGTCAACAACAATGAAGCCAGTGAACCAGTCTAACCAAAGCATGCAGCTGTGGCAAGCTACGATCACTGTATGACACAGTATACGTACAGTACATTGTAATTTGCTGCGTAATTTTTACTTTATTTCTTATCCTTATTCCTTATACCTAGAGTTTTTGCAGCCTGTTATTAAAAAGCAGCAGCAGGAGCTTTGCCGTTTGTTCATGTGATGATGTGTGTACACTGTGTCTGTACCACTGTGGAGTATGTGCTGGGTGAACTTTGACCAACGTCGGTCGCTGTCGCTGCAGTGTGTTTGCGCCAGTCGGCTGTCGCTGCAGTGTTGTTTGCGCCAGTTTGCTGTCGCTGCAGTGTGTTTGCGCCAGTCGCGCGGCGACTTTTGTGTTGTCGTTACGTCGGTCGTTGTCGCTGCAGTGTGTCTTGGCCTTAAATATTGTTGTCGTCAAGGTTGTCGCCGGTCGTTGTCGGCGTGTCGCGTGTGACGTACGTGTGTGGCTGTGTGCACTGCAATGGCAATGCCAATGGCAATGGCTCATAGGAAACAATAGTTTCTAACTTTCTGAAAAGTTGTTTGTCGTTACGGCCGGTCGCTGTCGCTGCAGTGTGTCTTGGCCTTTAGCAATGTGAGGGCAGTGGTAAGTGACAGGGCAAATAATAGTCGAGGCGCGTAGCACAGGCATTTTATTTGGGGGGGCGGCATGCATGAGCACGTGAAGTGTGCGAATCAGGGGGTAAATCCGTACCGAGAGTGGGGGGGGGATGATCGCGATAGCCATCACATACTAGCACGAGCGTAAGCCCACAATAATTTACACACACGCGCGCGATCGCGCCACGCACGAACATACATACACACACACACACAGGGGCGGATCCAGAATTTTGAAAAGGGTGTCCAGAAGAAATAAAGGGCACTTTTTTTTGTTTATTTTTCTGTGTTTTTAAAA